CACTGTCTTTCAAAGAGTTCACAAAGATACACATATTTTAAAAACTTTGTACTGTGCACATGGATGGGCAAAACTTGTAGAAAATCCTTATAAAAACAGTTTTCTTCACTTCACTTGAATATGCAAAGTTTTTAAATGAATCTAGTAATTAAAAAATGGGGGGGGGGGGGGAAAGGCACAAGTTGGTGCCAATACAGATTTTGAAAAGAAAAAAGGGCTAAAGCAAGTAAAATTGGCTATGAAACAAAACAGACTTAAACTGAGATCTACTTATATTTTGGAATGTGCAAGATCCTGATATCATGCCAGTTATCTAGCTCTTTATTTAAAATTTAATATGCTCTATATTCACAAGTTAGCAAGGCTAATTTTAGGAAAAACACAGAAATTAAACTTTATAGAGAAAAGAGTAGGGTAGAGAGAAGCATCCAATTAGTCACTTGGTATTGAATGTTTCGTTCATAATTCCTTCAACATAATTCCTTTCTTATCTAAACAGTTTCTTGTCATTAACAGTTATTATTTTAAGTTGTTTTTTTTTTTAATTTAGAACAGTGAATATTCACTTGATGTTACTTCATGGGTGGCAGAAGTTGAGTACATTTTGAATTCAGATATATAATATTTTGGAGAAGATGTATACCATGATTTGTCCTTCAACAGAAGAAATGTAATGTAGGCAGTGTTCATCTGGGACATATTTGAAGAACAGTTGCACCCTTTTATCTTCTATTTATTATCTCTCGTAATGAGGAAGGAATACTACTTAATGGAGATAAACCATTCAATTGGCTTCAAATAGCCCTTAGCTTCCTACTGCACAGTGTTTATGGAATGTGTTATTGGAGATGGATGCTTTCACTGTTGAAGGGGAAAAAACTACTACTCAGGCTATTTTCAATTACAATATGTATGAAAAACTTGAAACAGAGAAGCTGCTCTTTTAAAAGCTTAGTTCTAAAAGAATTTCTATGTCTAATTAGCATAAAGAAAAGCATGGCCGTTTTTGTCCATCCCTGTTTTTGTCCTGGCTTTTCAATAGTGTCACCAAGATACTGATTATTTCAGGTAGAAACAGATATTATCTTGAGAGAGGTAAAATGAGCAATTTATTTTGATAATATAGGTCAAATTCATATAATTCAAAATTAATACTGAGGTATTACTTCAAAATATGGTCTGTTAACTCCAGCTTTATTGAAATCTTTGCCGAAAATTCTGCTCCTGTCAAAGTCAGTGGTAATTTTAATATAAAAGTATTTCAGAAATTAAGGACTCAATAAGCACTTATGTTTTAATTTCCAGTCCTGTCTGGTAGTTGCTTATTATATAAGTGCATTGGATGCAGAGATTCTCAGAACTCCTGCAAAATCAAATAACTAGAGGTTATACATAATATAATGCAAATAGTAACAACCAATTATTTAGTACAGTCAAATCCCGTTGCCTTATTTATGTAGACAGACCCACTGAAATCTGGAATAAACTGGTAAAGTCACCTTACCCTTCTTACCAGGAAGATATAATACATAAAAATAGAGAAGTCCAGACACTTTACACTAGTGTTCATGTTATTGCAAATGATAATGCCTAGATGTTGTTGTGCACTTTTTTATACTGCTTCCATTATTTTAATTTTGCTACTTAAAATATAAGTGAACATGCAGCTGAAAGATATTTAAAACTGGGCAGTAAGGATAGTTCATTAGAACTGTGTTTGTATTGAGGAACTCTCACTGTGTTTCAGAGCTAATTATAAAAATAATCATTTGATGAGAAGAACATACATTAGAATTGGGGTTTTTGTTGTTAGCATTAGGTGGCCATTTGCTTTCTAGTTTTTAAATATTGGGCTTTCTGCATCAGAAGCTTTCTGGATCAAATCTGTATTAATCAGTTTAAAACCTCTTACATGGAAATTTTTATGAAGTTTTTTGTACATCTTCTGGAGTGACACAAGAGTGTGTAAGAGTAGGAAATTAATTATGTTTCTATATTTTTCTACAGTATTTCCTTAATTAACAATCTGTGTGTGTACTCATGTAAGTATCTTGTATTCCACTACTATAACTGAAAGCACATTTCAAGTGCTTGCCTGCCAAAACACATTTTTGGTCTCGTACTTCATCTCATTAGGTGAGGAAGGAGAGGTGGCAGGGTGTCTTTGTACAGTAGGGAGTGTTTCATGCATAGAGCTCAAGGACAGCGATGTCATAAGTTCGAGTCCCGAGGAGTAGGAATCAAGGGGATGGCCAACAAGGCAGATATCCTGGTGGCAGCCTGTTCAAGACCACCTAACCAGGATGAAAAGGTAGACAAAACATTCTGTAGGAAACTGGAAGATATCTCATGATCACTGGCCCTTGTTATTGCGGGAAACCTTGCTTTAACTTGCTGTATCTCTGCTGAAAATTCAGCACAGCAGAGAAGAGGCATTCTAGTAGGTTCCTGAACCATGTGGAACACAATTTTCTCACACAGATGGTGTGTGTGAGCCAGTGAGAGAAGACCTCACTTGACCTGCTGTTGGTGAATAGAGAAGGGCTGGGTGTGATGTGGTGGTCAGAGGCTGTCTTGGGCATAGTGACCACAAAATGACAGCTTTCAATTCTTGGGGAAGGAAGAGAGGGCATCAACTAAACTTTTGCCTTGGCTTACCAGAGGCAGACTTTGGCCACTTCAGGACAGTGGTTCATGGAGTCCCTTGGGAAACAATCCTTAATAACAAAGGGATCCAATAAGGCTAAACATATTTTAAGAAGTAAATCTTAAAGGCACGAGGGCAGCTCAGCCCTATTTGCCAAAAGATGAGCTGGAGGGGGCAGGGAGTAAGAAGGGGGCTTTCATGGAGCTCAAGCTAAAAAAGAGATTTTATGACCTTTGGAAGAAGGTGACTTGGGAAGTGTACAGGGATGTCATTGGGTCATGTAGACTGAAAGTTAGAAAGGCAAAAGCTGAGGTAGAACTCAATCTGGCCACTCCTGTGAAAGATAATTAAAAGGGTTCTTTTAAAAAAAATTAACAACCAAAGGAGAACCAAGGAAAATCTCCATACCTTATTGGATGCAGAGGGAAACATTGTACCTAAAGATGAGGAAAAGGTAGTTAATGCCTACTTTGGGTCAGCCTTTAACAAGAAGCCAGTTATTACCAAGGCAACCAGCCCTCTGAGCTGGTAGACAGGGACAAGGAGGAGAATTGAGCCACTCTCCGGGAGAAGTTAGTTAGAGACCTACTGAGCTGCTTAGGCATCAAAAGTGTAGAGGGCCAGATGGAATCCACCCAAGGATACTGAGGGGGCTGGTGGAAGAGCTCACTGAGCCACTTTGCCTCATTTGCCAATGGCCCTGGTTAACCTGGGAGGTTGGCAAATGTGACACCGATCTACAAGGAGGGCTGGAGGGAGGTTCTGGGCACCTACTGGCCTGACACTGGTGCCTGGCACGGTTATGGAACAGATCATCTTGAGTGCTACAGTGCAATCACATGGCATGTGCAGGACAGCCAAGGGTGTCAGAAAAAGTAGATCCTGCTTGGCCAACCTGATCTCCTTCTATGTCCAGGTGACCTGCTTAGTGGATGAAGGAAAGGCTCTGGGTGTTGTCTTCCTGGACTTTAGTAAAGCCTTTGATATTTCTCCAATGCTATTCTCCTGGAAAAGTTGGTGGCCCATGGCTTGGACAAGTGCTCTGTTCACTGCCTAAAATCTGCCTGGATGGCTGGGCCCAGAGTGATGGTGATGGAGTGACATCCAGCTGGTGGCCCGTCATGAGAGGGGCTCCCCAGGGCTCAGTGCTGGGGGCATTTCTGTTTAATATCTTTATCAATGATCTGGACTAGGGGATTGAGTGTGTATCCTCAGTGCTGCAGACAGCACCAAGATGGGTATGAGCGTTGGTCTGTTGGAGGGCAGGAAAGGAGGGATCTGGACAGGCTGGATTGATAGACTGAGGCCAGTGAGGTTCATCAAGACCTGGGTTGCTGGTTCAGAGCTGGGCCAGGTGGCAGAGCACTGCCCTGCCTTTCCTGCCCTCGGTTTCAGGTTTGGCATCAGGCTGTGCAAATAACTAAGGGACAACAGCGAATGCTCCCACATCCTTCCTGGAAATCCTTGCTTTTGCAGCACAGGCAAACAGAAGGACAAACAAGTTCAAGGGTGAGGAGAAAGGAGGTTTCACTGCAGTCAAGACTGTGTTGAATCTTGAATTCCTGAACCTAGAAAAATGCTGCTGGTGTTAGAAATCAGAACTGGGGTTTAACTACTCAAGAGTTGAGCTGAAGATTGTTTCAGTGCTTCTGAATTGTTTCAGAGCTTTTGTCAGTTTAAAGATAAAATTATCATGTGCTTTTTCTACTTTATTTTCTCAGTTGTTGATTTTTAGTCAAGTTTCTGGTAATTGTTGCTTTCTAGTGATTTCTATCAAGGTATGAAAGCCAGTTTACTTTAACCATATATACAGGCCTGTAAAATACATTTTTAAAAAAGAATCCTACAGTTTGAGCCAATTTTTGTCAAAATCAGTGCAAATCTCAGTTTCTACAATAACTTGTGGAGGAAACTTCCAGAGAAAAACCAGAAACAAATGCAGGTGCTACAAACACTTGTCAGCATTCTTTCTAACTAGATCTAAATATAATTTTGTAAATTTACTTTTTTACCTAATTCATTTAAAAAAAATTGTGTTGGTAAAAAGATTATAAGAATTTAAAATTGCTGATTTAGGCATTTAGAACCCCAGCAGTAAGAATCTATCCATCACTGTTCTCTCAGAACTGCGCACGCAGAGTAATTGCGCAGACGTCCAGGGTATTTCCACTCGTGCGCTTGTACACCGAAGTATCTGTCGATTTACCGAAGATCCTGGTATTTTGTTTTATTAGTCGGTGGTTATCGGTTTTTAGTGGCCTTGAGCCCCGCCGGCGCCGCGATTAACCCGCGATTAACCCGCGCTGCGGAGCCAAGGGACCTGCGCTTCCCGGTGCCCGCTGCAGCCGCTTCCTCACGCGGGGATGGCACCGGCACCCGCAGGCTGACCTGCCGCGGCGCTAGGCGGGCGCTCCCGCAGGCGCGCGGCACTTCCGCCGGGCCCCGCGCCCCGGGCCCGCCCCCGCGCCGCTGCCCGGTCGGTGACGGCGGCGCCGGGGACTCCCGCCGCGAGGGCGGGGCGCGCTCTGGGGATTCCCCGTCCCGCGCCGAACGTTCGGGATGGTTCCCGTGACGTCACGGCGGGGGCGGTACGGGGGAGCCCCGCCCGCTCCTCCCCGGGCCCCCGCGCGGGGGTTCTCGCGGAGCTTGCGCGCGCGCGCGGGGAGCACTGCGGCGCGGAGCGGCGCCATTTTGAGGGAGCGAGGCGAGCGCGCGGTGCGCGCGCGCGCACGGGGGTGTGGGGCGGCACTCGGAACAGCCCGGGACAGCCCCGGGAACGGGAGCGCAGGGAACACAGAGCGGCCGGGCCGCCACCCTCCTTACCCCGCCGGGCTGCCCGGACCGCCCTCAGGGACCGCAGGGGGAGCCGCCCCCGGCGGCGCGAGCAGGGCGGCCGCCGGGAGGGCAGAGGACGGGCACTCGGCGGAGCCGCAGCGGGAGGTCGTGCACCCCGGGAGCCGGGGTTCTGTCTGTCCGCACACCCCGGGAGCCGGGGTTCTGTCTGTCCGCACACCCCGGGAGCCGGGGTGCTGTCTGTCCGCACACCCCGGGAGCCGGGGTTCTGTCTGTCCGCACACCCCGGGAGCCGGGGTTCTGTCTGCCCTTACGCCCCGAGAGCCGGGGTTCTGCGTGTCCCCACAGCCCGGGAGCGGGGTCTGTCTGTCCGCACACCCCGGAAAAGGAAGCATGCCCCGGGCCGCGCTGGGGCTCCCTCGGCGGCTCCCGCCGCCCCTCCGGGGAATGTCCCTGGCCCAGATCAGCGCTTCCCGCCCGGGTGCTTCCTGTACATCTGTTCAGCTTTCCCAATAAAGCGAGCCATGACCCTTCCTTTCCCTGTTTTTCCCCGCAACCCTGCCAGCCCCTACTCCCCGTCCCCCGCCGCACCCCCAGCGTGTTTTCCTGCCGGGGCTGAGCGGCAGCAGGAGGATTTCGCTGATAGGCTGCGCCCTCCGTCAAACACCGCTGCCGCCCTGTCCGCGCCGCGAGTGGAGGAGTAGCCGAGGCTTCCGCTCTGGGCTCGGCGCCCTGGTTGCGTCCGTGCTTGTCTCTGGGATCCAGGTTTCTATTTGTTTCTCTTTTTAAGATTCAGGCGTTTGGGTTTTGTTTGTTTTGTGTTTGTCTAACGCCAGTCCGGATTTCATAAGGGAAAACTGATTTTTCTGGTTCTTCTTACCTAGGTTGCTTGAACGATAGAGTCAGTCCTGGATGTTTGCAGCCTTTTGCTTCAGCTGCCAGAGAAGAAAAAAGGTGGACACCGACTTGCAGCAGTTGCTTCCTGTGAAAGGGAAGAAATATCGGATACTGTTCTGGGATAATTTGTGCGTGCTTTGTCCTGAAAAGGCCTCTGAAACAAGCAGTAGACATCGGGGAAGATAATTGAGGAAATCGTGAGGTTTTTTCTTCTAGCAGTGTTGAGCACATCACCCTTGGATTCTTTTGTCCGCATGGCATGGATACATAGCTAAATTTATGAAGTTCTGAATACTTCAGCTGCCAAAATAAACTGTTTTCGTCTTTTTACATATTGTTTTTCTTCTCGGCAACATTCTTTCTGAATCGGAGGTTTAACCAGTCTTGTTAACTGGCTCCAGGTTAAATGTGGCCTGAGTCACTGTGGGGACATTGCTGAAAAGTTTCATGGCAGATTTTTTTTCCCCCCTTTTTTCATTGTTTAGATTTTCTGACATAGTCTTCTCTCATTTTGCAGTGAGACCTATTTTATAAATGAAGAATTTAATAGATGTTTGTTTATACTTTTTTCTTTTATATTTTATTTACTGTTTTTGTTGAAGAATGTTGTTGCCCATAAGCAGTATGGAGGTATCCAGATAACTGTTTATAAATGCCTCTGGCTGCCGGAAGGTAGGAAATGCTCTTCAGTTCATATGTGAAATTTGGGTTTTTGACATCACAGTTTGTGGAGTAAAACCTGTGTTTATTTCACTTGGAGCTGATGCTGCATATACTGGTATCTGCATTGAATAGACAAGAGAAGAAACTGTCAGAGAAAATAAAAGGTTTTTGAGACAGACATTGGCAGACTTTGTAAGTAGACTTGCAGAATCTATAAGCGAGAAGGATGGGTAGCTGATTTCTGTGAGGTCAAATCTATGTCAGACTGCCACGAATGTAGTATCAACAGGAACTCGGGGTATTATCTCAAGGAAAACAAACTGGAAAAATATAAATCACCCTGTACTAGCACCTTGTGCGGTCCTCTTGGATTAGGTAAGTGTTGTAGTGTTCATAAATCAATTTACACTTGAAAAAAACATTTTATCAGTAGAACAGTTAAACCTGTAATTTTTACTGGTTAGAGGTTCCTTGGTTTTTGTTTTGGTGGTTTTTTTTTTATTTATTTTGAGAATGTTGAATCTTGTGAATTTTTACTTGCTGGCTTTTATAATTAATGGAATATTTCTTCAAGAATTTGAAGAATACAGGTACAGAGAGAAACGTGTAGATAAGAGTATGATTTTTATGTGAGATTAAAAAGTATCTATATTTAGACTAAATCCATAAGGAATTTAGCCTTCATGTTAATGTTGTAATCTCAACAGTGAATGTTATACCCTTTTGAACAAGTCTTCTGGATAGCTTGCATGTGTCATTCCTTCCATTTGTGTTAGATGTGTTTACAGCATCAGGGTAGTAATAATATAGAGGGGTTTTTACTCTTTTTTATTTCTTTCCATGATTCTTTGTCACATATGAAAGCCAGAGGGTTTTTTAACCAAAAATTATTTTACTGATTCTGCAACTAGCTTTTTTTCTATGTTGATATTACAAGATTGACTTCAGTGTGTTTTCCTGTTCTGTAATGGGAATGAATTAGACTGACTGGTCTGCAAGTATAGTACTTCAAAAAAAGCTCCTTCTCCTTGGAGTGATTCAAAATTAAATCTAGCAGTGAGTTGGCTTATCTTCCTTGTTATTTTTAGATGTATTGTAGTTTTATTCATCCCGCAGTGATTAAATATTTGTTTAATTTTGGCATTAATGTGATAATTTTTTGTAGGTTTGCATTCAACAGAACTGCTGCTGCAGAATGCTGAAAGAAAATTAAGATGGACAGAGCAACTTAATTCAAAAGTCAGTGGTAATTTTACTGAAGTTCTCTATCCCCTACCACACCCTGATGATTCATGAGGCTTTAAATAATTAAAGCATTAATGGGTAGACTTTAAACTGAGCGTCTGGTAGAGGTTACACATTTACCTGAGTTGTCACCTTCTAAAATAGTTTTGAGAGCTTCTACAGTACCGAAGTATTAGCAGTAGTGAACTAATGAAAAAAAGGTTTTCTCTAAGGGCAGTGCAAAGATATTTGGGAAGATTGCATGTGTTAAAACCTTGTAGAAAAAGTGTAGTTAAGCATGTGAAACTGTATTTTAAAATTACTGCAGTGTATTTTAACTCCTGTAGCTTGTTATATTGACCACAAATGAAGGACTTGCATCTACATAAATTTTGTAAATTCTGACTCTCATTTAAGTTCTTATCTGTATGCTGTCAGTATCTAAAAGTTGAACTAACTTCAGTTTTCTGCTTTGGATGGTCTTGCTGCTTTGTTTTAGCTTCTGTTTCAGTTTTGTTGTTTTGAAAGTATGGGTACTATGGAACATGAGTAGGGGCCTGTTGCTCTAATCTCTGGCTGTGTCTTGTGGCTCTTCTGTCTTTAGTCTAGGTGTGGCTGGGGTTGACTGGTGGGCTGAGCCACTTGTTAAAGAACTGAACCAACAGAAAAGAATGATGTTGTATATTCCTTGTATGAGTATGATTTTTTGGAAGGCATTTGGTAGATGGAGAGTTCTGGTGTGACTGGCCATTTCATTTGATTGTTGTCTATTGTATGTGCATGAGAGTAATAGAAATATTCACTTCTTAACTCACAGAAAAAGTGTCGTGTTGCCTGTTTTTCTAAGCTATTAATTTTCAGTGCTGAGATACTTTTATTTGTTTTCAAGATGCTCTCACTGAAATCAAGGAACTGCATCCCCCACTTACTATTTTGGGTGACATCTTTTTATAGACTCTTCTCCTTCTGGAAGTTTTGAGGAGTTGCATTTTAGTTTCATTAAATTAATTCTATCTTTGCACCTCTCTGTTTGTTGGTAGGATAATTCTTTTATGCTTTAACAGTACTTGCACTTGGGAAGTTACGGTGTTCTGCACTTAAGGGGAAAGGAGCACCCAAGATTCATAAATGCATGTGGTTGAAAGGGACAACAAAAGTTGGAGGGTCCACAAAAAATCACCAGGTTTTATACATCAGTTGCACACTTGGCACTGAAATGGGTATGTCTGTCCCTGGCCTACTATATAAGCCCACAGCTTACATAGTAGGAATGGGGTAGAGGGGAAGAGATGAATTAAGGAGAGGGAGAGAGAGAAAAAGGAAAAAAGAGAGAAGGAAATCACCAGCCCTGATTCCTAGTGTTGGTCTGGCTATGGGATGTCCTGGGATGTGCAGGCAGGGCTTGGTGGGGTACCTTTTTATAGATGATTTCCTTGTCCTGAAGCTACGGTTTTAATTTTATATGTAGATCAGTTGTCTTCCATGGTCCATTCTTTGAGGCCTTTCTGGAAATGGCTTGGAGGGTTTTGGGGGACTCCTGGTGATCTCATTATCCCCATATTGCATTGGGCTTTGGTCAACAGTCATGCTTGCTTCTGTGCTGGTGCTGTCTTGTTTTTTATGTCTCCGTGGACTAGAATGAGGATGCTGGTCCCAGAAGAGTGCTGTCCTACCTCTGCACATCCCCTTCTCCAGCCACATCCCATTTACCACAAACTGTTGGTTGGCTCTGCAGTTATTCAGCTATTGGTGTTTGAGATATACACATTAGCCCCTTATCTTCAGGGGTTCTATAGCAGTGTATATTTTTCCTGTTTGTGTATATATGTGTTTGACAAGGATTCAGGAATTTTTTACAACTGTGCCCTGTACCCTGACAAAATTTGTACCAACTGAGGAGAAAATGCCAAGCGTGCGGCTCCACTTTAATTTCTTCCCTAGATTTTTGTTTTTCAAGTGCTTGCATTTTGTTAAATGCTTTGCAGACAACTGTAAAGATAATGTCCTTGCTCCCAAGACCTTATACTTTAAACCTTGATGTAAACATAATGTAGAGGGATAACTGTCAGCAGGTTGTGTCTTTACTGATGGGTTTGTTCTGGTAGCTTCATAAAATGGGTACATTTGTACTGGCTAATTCTTCAGAATGGTGCAGGTTTCTCTGCTATGTGAAAAAACAGTTGGTGGAATCTTTTGAGGATAAGTTCCCTTTAATCCTGCAGCAAAGCTGAAACAGAATTACACTGGTAAAGTGATAGAGGCAAATTGTGCAGATATTTATGTTGTACAGGGTAATGTACTTTGTGCCCCTTTTGTTTTTATTCTGAGGAGGTTATTCTGTTTAACTTCTGTGGATAGAACTGTTGCAGTGACAGTTCATCAATGATGTCTGAAGAAGTTGCTTTTATTTCCTTTTTTTTAGTAGTAGGAATCAATTCTGTCCTGCAAAGACAACTATTTGCAGATCTTGGTATACAGACATGAATAAAACTTGTCACACTTTTTGTTTTGTTTTTGCTTACTCTATGTGTTTGAGTGCCTGATGATAATGCTCCGTGTGGTGCTATCAACTCTTCCACAGTCTCCTCCTTTCATGTCTTGGGTAGACATAGTCAGGGGAACAGCTGAAATAAGAAGTTATCTGCTTTATATGCTCAGCATAGGGCAAAACTTCCGTCCTTATCAACTGCTACTTCTTTCTTGTGACAATTCTCAAGTACTGAAGAATTTCTGGTGATTTCCTACATAACATATGGTGACTAGGGCGGTGATGTAATTCAACTCACACTTTAGCTTTTGAATTTGAACCTTGTTAATGGGCAAGGAATGAGCATCTGTGAGGCCTTTGCTAAATGGTCAGTACCATTTAGCGGAATCATTACACCCCAAAGTGTGTTAGGTTCTCAAGGAGAAGAAACCTGGCTGTAGTGAATTGAAGTTACTCAGTTGAAACTGCCTGTAAATGTGAAGTTATTTCATGTTATGGATTAGCTTGCATTTTTTAAATAATCTATGTTTCAGTACAGTGCAAAACCAGAAACATTTTTTTTGGTTAAAAAGTCATCATTATGTCATCCAAAGGACTTAGCAGCTTCATGTATATCTAAAACACTTCTTAAAAGATGTTTTGATTGTTGTAACATTTATATTTGATTCACAGAGATAATGTTGCTTATGAACCATAACTGTACATAGAAAAGGGGACCATATGCTAAAAAGCAGTGTTCATGTTCTAGATTCATATACAAAACACAGTGTGCTTAGTTGGTTCATTCTCCCATAAGGAACTTGAGCACAAAGTAGAAATGAAGGTGTATTTTTTTTTGTTGGGTTTTCTATATTTTTGCTAAGTCTCTGTAAAGGTAAGTATTAAGTTTGTGGCTGTACTAATGAATGTGTTGGCTTTAATTGGTTAAAAAACGGACTGCTATATTTTGACTCTGCGTAATCCTCATACATAAGTATCAGTGCTCAGATCTAGCAGAGGACCCTTGCTCCTTCCCTAGTGCTCTGCAGGAAACCTTAGTTTTTATACTTCTTTTTAAAACATGAGGCAAGAAGGTAAATTGTAAATTGTATGGATGTCTTCTTTAGTTCTTCTATATTGTCCAGTGGTAGAATATATATGAGGACAGTTCTGTATTGGATGGTGGGAATATCAAAACTAAAACTAGAGGTTTTGCTTGCTCTGCAGTAGCATGATTGAGAAATAAGAGGCTACAGTGGAACTGTTTCAGAGTTTTTTGTTTAATTGGTGGGAGAGCCCTTCAAAAAGTTCAGTTCCCTTTCCTTTCTGTTGAAGGTATGAGTCTTAGGCAGTAAATTTTAGAGAACCGAAAAACTAGGGGGAATTACCATGCCCAAGCCTAATCTTTTTAAAAAATAGTTTTTCATTGATATGCCACAAGGGGTGACATGATACTCTTTCCCTTCAGAGAGTGAAAAGTTTGACTGTAAAGATGTAAACTTATTCTATTGTTGTGGCTGTTCACTTACATAGAGAGGAAAGAAAGAAAGAAAGAAAGAAAGAATCTTCAGTTGAAGTGTTTGTCATGCTTTTGCAGCAAATTGTGATCAGTAGAAATGTTTCCAGTTTCAAAAACTCATAAAGCTTGTGTAAGAGTTTGAATATTCTTTTGTTTTAGTGACATACAACAAATCAAAATAAGCTAATTTCAAGTCATTTTGCTATTCAAAATTTGTATCTGCATGAATCACAGAATAGTAAGGAAGATGCTGAATAAACTTGGGGAATGAAAATGGAGATATACAGATTTTAAATAAAAGTATTGTTTAGACCTTACATTTAGCAACTTGATTTCAAATTAGTGCTACTCTTAACTAGAGATAGTAGGGAGGGATAACAGAGAAGGATCTGCTATCACTGGAAATTTTTCTTTTGACAGAAGATGTTTTATGGCAGAAGAAAAAATTTTTGGCAGCGTTTGGCAGCAGATCTTTTTGAAGATCTGCTTAGTATGAAAAAAGTCCTGAATGATCCTGTATGTGAAGAAAGGGTGTGTAGGCTGATGGCCAATGTACCATCTTGTGCTTGTAGTTTCTTTGCCTAATTCAGACCAATACTTGGTAGTTTTTCTTTGGCTAATGATAAAGAGTTGAAGCCAAAATTTGAAGCTGGCCCATGATGGGAGGACTGAAGGGCCAGTATTCTAACTACCTTGTTGGACCCTCTGAAGTTCATGCATATGCTCTTGTTTGTCTTCTGGTGAAATAAGAATTCGATATGTATGCTGGAGCTCATTTTCAAGGAAACAAAGCAGGAGCAGCAAATTGAGACACTGCGTATAACCTTTTCTTTCTATGCTCTCTTAACAACACTATAGTGTGCTTTAATTGTCACAGCTTACAACCTTCTTGTATCCCATTTATAAATACTATGCTTAAAATTACATTGGCAGAGCGAGGGTGGTTTGTCAGATGTGTGTAGTTGAGAAGTGAAGTTAAGGGTCCCCTATGTAATTTGTGGTGTGCTGTACTTACTGTGATAATAATCT